TTAATTTTAACCTTTTTTCGGTATCTAAAATATTGGTTTAATACAAGTTACCCTGCAGGGTATTTGGCTGGGATGTGACCTGTGGAGATAATTCTGTTAATACTGTATAAATACCTGAAATTTTTTTCAAAAGTAGAGAAAGAGTCCTCTCCCTAAAGAATTCTCGCTCATTGTTGTTGAGATGAAAGTGACCCAGCGATGACCCTCCAGCGGGTTTTCAGAAGCTGGCAAGTCACACGGGAGAAGACTGCCCTTGTGGAGCCAGAGAGAATTTCCCATAGTGAGAATATTATTTTTTCAACAACCTTCAGAATCTGAAGCTTGTGGAATCTGAAATTCTGAAGTAGCCAGAAATCAGACAGTAAATTGTTTAAGTACTATGAGTATTAAAAAGAATGAAAATATCTTGTTAATTCTGTTATTTCCAATGTCACTTTCTTTTGGTAATTTCTGATACCGTATCGTTTGGTAGTTAGAGTTATGAATTTTCAGTACGTGTATGTGTATGTCCACACACACCATCATTAATGAAGGAATTCTCTAAACCATTTCAAAGAAGAAAAAAGATGACCTCCTGCCAGGTGTATAAAGCCAGCAGAGCCCATGCTGCTTAGACCAGGCTGTCCCAGGTCCAGAGACCAGAATCCATTCAGACACAGGAAAACCACCACTAGAGTTCTTTAGTGAATAAAAATTTCACCACTGTGTGCCCTGGGAAACAGTGGAGAAAGTTTAAAATGTAATACTGTCTGCTAACTGAATTTGGGGCTGACCTTGTTTACTTGAAAATCTGGTGCTATGCACGTGTATCTGCCCACCCCCCCCAACCCCCCTGCCGCCTTGTAGATACCACTCTACCTTCCATTCCTCACTAACCACATCCACGCTTCCCATTAGGAGTCTTGTGTTCTCAAAATAACGTAAAAGTGGAGGAACATGTAGGTGAAGCCTTTGGCATCTGTGGTCAACTTTTCTCCCAAACAGGATTCTGAAGTCAGTGGCCTTTTTCTTGGTTCCTCCCTGTAAGAGCCATTTTCACCACTGTTTGTCTTTTCTTAAATACAAGTACTAGTAGGAATCATAGACTTTGTTTTCACATATTTAAACCCAAAAAAAAGGAGTTGAGTACATTCTTTATGGTTCAAACTTACATGGAAAATGAGTGTCCTTTCTCCCCGCTGCCCCTCCCCACCCACCCTGCTCTCCAGCATGTGTTTCTACTTGGGGTGAGGCTTTGTTTTCTCTCTGTTTATCCCCAAAGAACATTACTCGCACAAATTTAGTCTTTAAAAATAAAACGTAAAATATGAACAAAAAAACTGTAAACCCTGCTTAGAACAAACTATGGATCATTATTTAAAATAACTTTATACACTTTTCTTCCATTTTCTCTTAACTATATATTTTGGAGAATCATGGCCAATCATGTTGGAGAGAAATGCTCTTTTATTCTCCCTTATTTTCTTACTCTTAGTTTTGTTTATATGTTTAAATTGTTGGAAATAAACCATGCTGTGTGCTGGTATCATTTGTTTACCACTTCCTCCATTTTGTTTTGAATGTCACACATTTTGTATTCTAGACAATCTAGCAAATAGCTATTCATACTGTTGCCAAGTAGGGAATTTTGTCACCCATCACTTCCTAATTTTTTTACTATTTTCCTCCCTCTTGCTGAATTCTGGAAAATTTTTTCTCATTTTTCAAACTCTGAACTCAAAACCCATTGCCATGGTCTATTCTAACTCATCACAATCCCACAGAACAGAGCAGAAGTGCCCGCACTGGGATTAGAAGTCTGTGCTGTGTGGGACCCAGCTGTTACATGGTTCCGCAAAGGAGTGTCTGGTAGATTTGAACCAGCAACCTTTCAGTAGCAGCTGAGCACTGAACTCTGTAGCACCAGGACTCCTTAAAATCCCACATACTACAAGCTCATTATAAGGGGTCTAGTATGTACATCCAACTTCTCATCCAGGGAATTGGCTTCTGACAATGTCATTTGAACATTTTAAGTGATAATTACTTGATTTTATTTTCTACTGGTAGTTATCCTGATAAGCTAATGCAGTTAGTAACTGTTAGCCTGTTATGTGTAGACTTTATACTGTATTTCTTGATACTTTTAAGTACAGACTGTATTTCTAGGTATCTTAAAAGCTGTATTTCCAGATACTTTGATGCAAAAGTAACCATTTTGCCACATGCAGTGGTCGAGCTTTATTTTTTTTTTTTTTTTTGCTCCCACCAACCTTGAAAACTTTATTAGGCTCTTTATCTTAGACCAGGAAGGAGACGAGAAAGTGGTCTTTTCGGAGGGCCGATGGCCTTTAAGCCAGTTAATGTTCTGTGCCCATCCTGCTTAGACACTGGGGGAACTTCAGCTCTGAGCTGAGCTTCTCTTTAGCCAGCAGATGCATTCTGGTTTACCTGGATGACACCCTCGTACATAGTACTTTCCTGTCACCACTTCATTCTGCACTTTTCCTCTGGCCTCAGAGTAAGCACATTTGTTAACTTAATTATTTATGTTTACAAAATTGGCAGTGCATGGACAAATGTTTATCTCTGCACTTCAGAGAGCCTGAGCACATGTGTTCATTCTCTGGAGAGGAAGCCCTTTTCCAGGGCAGCTTCCCCGTCGCTGGTTGCTGTTCATTCGTATGGCCCCCTGTTGTATATACAAATTGTCCTTTCTAATGTAGAACCAGGATGAGACCACTGACGTAACTGATGATACAGTCTGGTGAGACTCCTCGGCGTTTGCCTGCTCATCACAGGGAAGGGCCTGGAGAGCAGAAGTCAGCCTTTGGCTGTATGACAGGCTCAGGCCAGACTGCAGTGCCAGGCTCAAGTGACAGCCTCAGGTGGGCCATGCCCCTCCACCCCCAGCCCTCCCTAAACCTCTCATGGCTGCAGGGTCCTGAACACATTGCAGATCGCACCTGCCCCGGGACCCTCCAAGCCACCAGTGGTGAGAACCCAGGTGTTCCTCTGCACACAGCTGCCAGCCCAGCCCAGGTGTCCTCCAGGCTGAGCCCTCAATGGTAAACTCCAGTCCTTGCCCCCTTGATTCCTCGGTCTTTTAAAAAATGAGAACGCTTATACCAGCAGTGTCATAAAAGACTAAGCCTAGAATTTAAGAAGCCATTTCAGATCTTTTGCTAAAAGTGCAGTATAGTGTATAAAATTTAGAATAACCACTTAAACATACCAGTTTTCAAAATTTTGGAATTTTACTTTTCATTCTGGCACTATAGTGAACCATAACTCCCTAGGAAGAGGATCATTTCTTAAACCTGGACCAAACCTAGTTCTAGGGCCACCAGAATGATGCTGTTCCAGGAGGATAAAGAGAAGTCAGCCATGCACCACTGTTTCCACATCACAACTTCCTAGGCAGAATGATGTGGCTAGAAGTTGTCCTAGGTAATTATAAAGCTCATTTTACCTATCAAATGACAGGATGATCTCAGTATTATCTTAATATTTTAAAGTGGTACTTTACCTAGAAAACAGCATAATTTTAATAAAGTACATTTGTAAGTGCATGACAAAAAAATTCATTTCCAAACATAACAAATTGATCTCTCAGAAGTTACATGAGTTTGCATCATCCCAAAATCTCTTCCTCAGTGAACTAACACCTCCTCATTCACCAAGGCCCAGCTTACACTTGATGTTCTTGCCCCTTTCTGTCAGAGTTTAGTGTTTAGAGCTTCCTTTCTAGGCAAAGAGAAATGCCAGATATTCAGCAAGCTGGTAAAGGGTGTAAGATCACTGGAGTTGGCGTTAATCATTGGGTGAGTTTGTACCATCACAGCACATTCCGTGGTCCGTGGCCTGTCACTCTACTCTAGGTGGTCCAGGGAAGAGCATCGTTCCAGGCTGGGAGGAGGCAGAAGTCCCCAGGACGAGCTGGAATTGTCCAGAGACACCAGCCGCTGGCCAGGGTTTTGGTATCAGATCCCCCTCCACGGGCCCTGACCTCCTGGTCTTGGGCAGGGCAGCAGCACCAGGAATGAGGATGATCTGTGAATATGGTGGGGTTTGAAATGACTCCATGCTCATCCACCTTCTCTTAAGCATCGTGACCAAGAACTCCTAACTGCAGGGATGAGTCCACTCACATTGGCAAGTGAAACGTCACTAGAAGAGACATTTAACAGAAATTATGTCCAAGAATCAGAGACTTCTGGGAGAGTGAGGCCCCTAATTCAGGTGCCCGCTGATCGTCACGCTGGATTATGATTGAGAGCCTCACTGTGCAGCCCTGGAACCCAGGTTCTCCCTGTACCTTGGCCCTCAGCCCTGACCTGACTCTGGCTGTGTTTCCCCATCATGTTTATTTCTTAGGCTGCTTCCTATTTTAACTTCACATTTCAGATATGCAAGAGCTAATTTTCTTTTCAGCTAGAAGGGGGTACATTTTACTGGACAAGTACAATTGATTCCTGTTGTATTTCCTTTCTCTGTAGCTTCTTAAACTCACCAGTAATTGAACCCATAGTGGCTACAGACCTGATAGAACTTTCCATTTCGAACAGAACAGAAGAAGAGCTAGCAGATTGCAGGTGTGCTTTGAGGCAGGGGCCAGAGGGTGAGAGGTAGACCATGTCTCCACCTTATGTCACTAACTCTTCAGGAGTAAACAAGGGGTGGGGAGTGAGAGAGTTTGTCTATTTGCTGCTGCCTGTCACACCCCTCACCCCCACTTAGCTCTCATTTGGAAAACTCCATGACTGCAGGGATCTATCTGCTGGCCTCCGTTAACAGTGTCTGTACCAGTCAGGGGCCAGAGCTCCACCCCTTCCAACATGAGATCCTCAGTCCAATGAGGTGCCATGTGTTTCCAGGGAGATAATTTGGTCCTGGGTCGTGTTCAAGCCTGAGGCTCTGGGCCACTCTCCTGGATCGTGTTCTTTCATGAAGTAACAAGAGATACAGTAACTTCTGGCTTGGTCTTCCCTCTGTGTCCATTGTGAGTAACAGTACCTGACTCAGACAGATACAGGACAAGATATAATTCGATCTTCTAAAAGTACGCTCATTATCAGGAATACAAAGTACAGGAGGAACATGGTGAAGCCCAGGATCTTGTTCATTTTCCATTTGCATGATGCAATGGAGAAAATCACGAACAGGAGCATGAGGAAAAGCAAAACAATCGCACAAAACAAGCCGTTGCTGCTGACTGGAACAGGCAGTAATCCATTGAAAAAGGAAAACAGCAACCAGGGAACAGGCAAGCTGCAAGATTGAAGAAGCAGCGTGGTTACTACTAACCTGTACAGTGTCCCACAGGCCTACCTGGCAAAGCACTGTGACACTTACACAGGCACATTCGGAGCCCATGCCGTAGGCAGCAAGAAACAGGTCCAAAGAAATGAACTTACTTGCCTACGGACTCACAGACAGTATCTGGGAAAGCCTAGACTGAAAATGAAGTTCTCGGACATCTTTCTTCATGACGCCTCCCTGACTGACCACGATCGTGACAATAAGGCCTGGCTTGGGATAACTTAAAATTATTTTAATTAAAACTCTCTCCTGTGCCCACTTCACTCCCTCCTCTCCCCCCCACCCATCAACCAAGTGCACATACACAAACTGAAGCAACAGAGGCGTCCACCTAGAGCGGGACGCAGATCCGGACACATAAGTGGCCCAGGGGTCCTGTCTGCTTTGACAAGGGGCTAGAGGGAGGCAGAGGCTCCGGCAGACAAGGCCTTCACTTGTTGATGCAAAATGTTTCTGAGAGCCACTGAGCTGGCAAAACCCAAAATACAGAGGCGCAGAAAAAGAGACGGAGTCCTTCCTCCTTCCGGTCCCAGCCCTGGAGGTCAGCGAGCAGAGCATTGGGCTGTATTTGGTAATAGAATTTAATGGAACTCATTTTCAATTCATCTGTAAATTGCAGTCAGTTAGAGCTGAGACAGCATTTTAGTTGTTATCCCATCCGGCTGGCCCACATTAATGGAGGGAGGATACTTTTCTGCCTTATAGGAACTAAAATAAATGCCCTTTCATCTGTGCATCCTGAACAAAGTAGAAAACTGGTAAGCACAGAACAGGGAAACACTGGTTTCTGGTAGCTCTAAACAGGCCTTGCAAACGTAACACTGCCACTCACCCCACAGTGATATCAAATATGTTACTGCCCACAGAGCTTGACACGGCCATGTCTCCCAGGCCTTTCCGAGCGACAATCACGCTGGTGATGAGGTCAGGAATGGAGGTGCCTGCTGCTAGGATCGTCAAACCCATAATCTCCTCTGAAATCCCTATGGTTTCACCAACCTGGTAAAGAGCAACAGTAATGAGAAACCATGGCAACAGCAGCTCGCAGACCTGAGGCTTTTCACAGCGCAGGCCAAGAGAGCGACCTTGTGCATACGGCCTCCCAGGGAGTCCCTGCGCCCCTTCAGCTGGAGGGTGGGTGATAGGTGGACCTGATGCCAGGGAAATGGGCCCCATCCCAGGCTGCAAGGAACCCCCAGCTTTGATTGCCATCAAACTAACCCTTCTCCCTCCATCATTCCAGCTGTCCCACCGCCTCCAAAGGGCCAGCCCCTCCAGCACCCTCTTCACATCACTGTTTCCCCTGCTGTGTGCCAGGGGAGGAGAGGCCGGAGATGGGCGGACAGTGCAGCACGTTCTCCACACAGCAAAGCTCAGCGCTCCACACACAGGGCGTGGCTGCTCAGAGAACCGGGCCGCCTGCGGGGAGGCGAGGGCTCCCACCCAGCGGGCGCAGACGCCCAGCCACCCGCCCTCGGGCTTCCCAGGCGTAAAGGCGCTCTGGCGGCCTGGTGATAAGAAGCTGCACTGCAATCCCCAAAGCGTGCGGTTTGAATCCACTAGCAGCTTCTCAGAAGACAAAAGGGTAGTCTCCATACATGAGATTTACTGCCTCTGAAAACCTTCTGGAGGCTCAGTTCCAGCTTGTCGGTCCACACACCGTCACGCAGCGGAGGCTGCCCCGCCTTCTGCTGTGGAGCGGCTGGTGGGTCCACTCTGCGGACGGGCAGCCTCGCAGTGTGACCAGCCGCTAACCACCACCCGGCGCCTACGAGCGATCAGAATTCCCGGGGGAGGGATGGAGGGAGAGACTGCTGGCGGGGACCGGGGTGAAGGGCTCTCTACGTCACGTTCTGTGTGGCTCTAAGGACACAGAAGCCACCCTCGGAATAAAAAGTCCTCTCCTGAGCCTTTAAATGAATACAGAGACCACAAATGGCACTTGTTCTTTCCCACCCCCTGGCCCGGGAGCACCATCGTACAGGCGCAGGCCCGGCCTGGTGCTGAGGCGAGGGGGCTGCTCACCTGGTGAGCCCACCACACCATCAGGTACGAGAACAAGGCGATCCATATGATGGCGCCCAGGAACGTGAGAACGAAGAACTTCCTCGACTCCTGCGGAGGAAATGGAGAAAGAAGGGAAGCAGGTTAGAGAGGGACCTGGGAGCGATGAGAAAGCAGGCGGACAGGGTCGTGCAGGGACTGACTGAAGAAAATGAGTCGCTGCCCACACGCACCGAGCTAGGGATCCGGTGTGTGTTCCTCCAGAGTGCAGGCCCCTCTCCAGCCCCAGACACAGAGCGTGAATGCCCGGGGGTGAAGTGGATTAAGCCGGCCTTGGCCTACAACTGGGAATGTTGGGGAGAAAGAGCAGCCTGGGGTTTCAGAATATCCCTGTGAAATACAGAGGTCTCGTTCTAATAACAAAATCAAGAACTGATAGGGATTATGTTCACCACATCTGTATTTTCTTAATTCATTGCTGTCAGTCATCACGACTTGTAGCTGACCCTCCAGTAGCCTTTCCGGCGGGAGAAGGCACCGCCCTGGGTTCGCAGCACACCCCCACCCACCCCCCCCACCCCCCCGGAGCACACAGGACGCCTCTAAGTCCAGGGCCTCTCACGCCGAGACAGGGCCCCTTAGACCGAGATTTCATCCTTAGTGCGCTGGTGGAGCCCTGCCCTCTCCTCCAGGGTGAGGCCCGGGTCTGCAGCCCCGCAGTCCTCCCGGGACAGGGCGGGGACGAAGACAGGGTCACCTGGGCACAGGTGACACACTCACCAGCCTCCGGACGTCAGGGATCGTCAGCCACAGCGGGAACACGATGGGCAGGAGGAAGAGGTAGATGGCCTGCTTCCGCTTGGTGCTGGGCCACTCCAGGGACAGAGGCTCCTCGTTCTCGTCGTCGTCATCATCTTCCTCGTCGTCGTCGTCGTCTTCATCATCATCATCATCATCTTCTTCTTCTTCTTCTTCTTCACTATCACCTTCATTGCCTCCCTCTTCACCATCTGTGTTCTTCTCATCACCTGGCTTTTCAGCTTTGGATTCCTGACCTTCAAGTTCACCTTCATCACCTTTCATGTCATCATCTCCTGCTGTCTGCATGTCACCATCTCCTGTCTGGATTTCATCAACTCCTGCTGTCTGAGTTTCATCTCCTGCTGTCTGAATATCATCTCCTGTCTGATTGTCACCATCTCCTCTGTGGATTTCATCCTCTCCTGTTTGGATTTCAACTCCGCCTTCACATTCATCTTCTCTCCTTTCTGCTTCCACTTCCCCTTCACTTTCGCACTGTCCTTCACCTTGACCTTGCCCTCCTGCTTCACCTTCATCAGGAGCTTCCACCTCTCCTGTAATTTCGCCTGTGCACTGGGCTTTGTTCCCATTTCCTTCCTGCAAATCAAAGTCAACAGACTAATAATGTATGATGAGTGTTTTGTTTCTTTCTCTCTCAAATACTTTCCCACTATTTTTGTTGATCTGAGAATCTATCTGAAAACCTGAGTGTACAAAGAGAATGAAGGCAAACATCCATCAAGGTTCCCCCGTCAGCACCCTACCCAGTGGTTTTCTGGTCCTCATGGGGTAATTTCCAGCAAGGGAACTCACCACCAAGAGGGCACACGGGGGTGTCTGGCAGCTTCAATCTCTGGTTGGTTTGAATCCACATCTATATTAAGAGTCTATACCCTGCCCACAATCAAGGCTTCAAACTGGTTTAGACTTGTTTAGTCATGGCTGATGAAGTGAAACCAAAACAGACTCAAGTTTTTAAAATTTGGCTGAATTGAAATGATACCCTGATGTGAGAGATTGGACTTTTGACAGGACTGTGGAGACATACAGCTTCACAGTGGCTCAGTCAGGCGCCGTCTTTGAGCTGGGCACCGTGGTCTCAGACACTGTTTTCTAAGAGGGGAGTGCATTTCCAGCAGGGTCTCGATCCATAAATTTCCCCATTCAGGATCTTGTTCCACTTGGCTTACATTGTACAAATTCAGGCCTATTCCGGTTTCACTTCATTAACCATGGCTGAACTGGGAAGAGCTTGTTCAAAACCCTCCATAGTCTTTGGAACCGCACAGAACATGCTGAATCGTTCTCTCAGGCATAGCTGTCTACCTGGAATGAGACATTCTCAGGCCTTTCCACCACTTCCTCACATCACAGCCTAGAGACTCTTCACCATCTTGGTGAACTCATCCTAATGGCTTATGTCCCAGGAAGAGCGTCCGCTTGCACACAGAACACCAGCGCATGGTGGAGCAGGGCTGCTTCTCCCTCAGTTTAGACACCATGCTTCCATGAGCACCATATGGCGCGATAACATCTATTCACATTTCTGACCTACTAATACTTTCTTGAACTACTTTCTTATATAAAAAATAACTCGTGTAATATTTATTCATTTGGAGTTTTTAAACATCAGGCTTCAGTCTAAATGATTTACTAACAAAAACCGAGTTTACTAAATTCCATGTGTCAAATAACTCATGATATGTTGTTGTTGTTGTTGTGTGCCATTGAGTTGGAACTGACTAATAGCTGACCTTCCAGTCAGTTTTCAGAGGCTGTAAATCACACAGGAACAGCTGGTAGATTCCAACCATCTGCCTTTGGGTTGGCAGTGTAACTCCTTACCACAAGGCCACCAGAGCTCCCTATAACTTATACGTTGTCATTATTGTTAAGTGCCATCAAGCTGTAGATGACTCATAGCGACCCTATGAATGAAAGACCTGAACACTTGTATAACTTTCGTCGTTTCTTCACATTCATAGAGTTTCCGGAGACAAGCCATTTCAGAAGTGGATGCCACTCCTGCTTTCAAGATACTTACTATATAGATATTATTACACCCACCTTATAAGAAGCTGTGCTGCAATCTCAAAGGCACACAGTTCTAATCCACAGCTGCCTTGCAGGAGAAAGATGAGCAGTCTCCCCCCATGCGATTAACTGCTTGTGAAAACCTACTGCAGGGTCAGCCATGGGTCTGTTCCATCTTGACAGTAAACAACAGCAACTACATACTTATAGATGTAGAAACCAGGGTCCAAAGAAGTTAAATATCCAAACTGTTTATAGGTACATTTTTAGGTAAATATGGATTGTTCTATTTGCAGCCTCTTAACCACTAAGATTCCTTACTTCACAGATGCTAGGACTTCTCTCTGGCTCTCAAACCTGGTAACGCAAGGAGTTTCTAGAAAGATTCCCTGACACCACTTGGAATCAGAAACCAGGGGTCCATTTTACCATGCTCACAAGTGCTCCTAAGTCATCCATCTGCAGGCCAGTATTTGGGAACCATGGAGTGATTCCGTGAATTCTAAAAAAATCACTGATTTATTTTAACATACTTTAAAGCCATGGATTATGAGTTTCCTCAGACGACAGAGGGGATGGCTGGTGCAGTCTGTAGCAGGTTGCACTGCTAACCAAAAGGCCAGTTGATGGTTTGAATGCAGCGGCCGCCCCTCAGAAGGCAGATGGACAGTCTCCTGCCAAGCAGTGTACAGTCCTGGAGACCCAGGGGAGGGGGCCGAGTCAGAACTGACATGAGGGCAGGAAGTTTGGTTTTGGTTTTGGCTTATGGGTTTTGTTATTTTAGGGTGGGGGTTTTTTTGTGGGTCTTTTTTCCAAATTAGGTACCAAACTAATAATTCCTGGCTTGTCCAGTCCCCTGAGCAATGTCCTGAGGGGGTACACATAAGTGACACCCTAACATCATGATATAGGCAAGTTCCTCTCCCCCACCCAAGGATGTTCTGTGATTCTCAACCCTGCTGCACATTATAACCACCTGGTGACTTTATGTAAACATTGATATTCAAGTCCCTAGCCAGATACTCAACTGTTGCAAGTGAGACCTAGGGATTTTTGCCCTCCTTTTATTAAATACCTGGACATTTTTAAGCATCCTCAAATTATTCTCATATACAACCAGGTTGAGAATCCCTGATAAAGAAGCCAAGTATTAGGTGAAGCTTCTGCTTTGAGTAGAGAATGAGGAGGGAGGCAGATTTCAGCCTGAATTCCTGCCTTCCCCTCCTGCCTTAGGGAGGGGAGCTTCCTGAGGGCAGTCACTAGTCATTTCAATGAGAAGCAGGAGGTGTCTCTCCAGCCTCCACATTCTTTTCTAAGTAAGACAGCTCTGGTGGTTCCAGCTCAGCGACGTCTTTCTGCTCCCATGTTGGAGTCAAGGCCTGCATCACTGCCTGCCACAGTGAGCTGGACCCAGGCTGGAGAGCTGGCCTGTAACATGGGAGGGACAGGTGCTCTTTTAAGATTGGGAGCAAGTCACAAGCTGATCCCCTTGAAGATGAGAAGGCAAGCTGGTTGCTTAGGGTTGAGTGTGCTGATTAGGAAACAGAGCTACACGGTGGAAGGAAGGGACATGAGGGAGGAGGGGATTCAGAGATTGCCAGGGTCACAAATACCTTTTCCATCCTAAGTTCAGGATCTCGTGAGACCAAGCTATGCTTCCGCCCTTAGACTTGTGGTGACACCCTTAGTCCTTTAACCCTTCCACTTGAGCTGGCTGTAAAGCGCCCTCTCAGGACACTCCTGTTACCATGGAGACATCCTGGATGCTGAACTCAAAGTAACTGGATCAAGGATGAAACATAATTGAGTGCTTTTGAGTATCCAACAGAATAAACAAGTAGAAACCAAGAAAATGGAACTTACACATTGAATGCTTATTTACTATCACTCACTCAACCATTATTAATAACAACTCTGTATCAGGCACATATTCTTCTGTATGAAGAGGAACGTGACATCAGGACTGAGGAAGACTCGGCAGCAGCCTGCCCTCTGCAGATGTCACAATCTTCCTTGAAGCACTTACTGAAGAAGATCATAGACCACAGCCTTTAGTAAGGATTACACCGTAACATCAAGAAAACAAAAATCTTCATAGCTGGCTCAATAGGCAACATCATGATAGAGACAAAGTGGAAAAAAGAAACTGTCAAGGATTTCCTTTTACTTGGATCCACAATCAATGCCCATGGGAGCAGCAGCCAGAAAATTCTAAGATGTATTGCTTTGGTCAAATCTGCTGCCAAAGACGTCTGTAAAGTGCTAAAGGTAGCCTGATCTACAGCATGCTATTTTTAATAGGAAACTATGTTTATGAATGTTGTACAATGAATAAGGGAAACAAACAAAAAAACCCTGGATGCCTTTGACTTGTAGTGCTGGCAAGGAGTGCTGAATATACCAGGGAGAGCCAAAAGAAGAAGCTCCTCAAAGGCCAGGAGAGACAGTGAGCACTGCATTAGAACAGAGGAGGGGATGAACTGTTGGAAAGGAATCTATGATGATGCATTAGAACAATCTGGAACATGAGGTGCACTGCAGAGTGGGCTAGGGGAGGGGAAGGGAGGAGGGGATAAAATGTACAACAACTAATAAAAGAGAAAATAAAAGTAAGGATGGTGGGACATCATCTCATATGCTCTGGGAATGTGGTCAAGAGGCACTATATCCTTTTGAAAAAGACATCATGCTTAGTAAGACAGAGGTTAGTGAATGAGGGGAAGACCATCAACAGAATGTATTTTGTCCAGTAACTGCCAAAATGGGCACGATCACGGCAGGGATTGTGAAGAGGGCACAGGACGGGCACAGTGTCCATCTGTTATTCGCAGAGTCGCTATGTGTCAGTCAGTTCAACAACAACACTTGCTGGCACGTGTGTCTCTCTGCAGAGGACACAGAGAGGACTTGACCTCTGCTTTCAGGAACACCACCACCTAGAACCCAAACCCAAAGCCACTACTAAGGTGCCTCCAACTCACAGCAACCCTCTAACGCGTTTCGGAGGTTTTGCATTTTTGATAGAGGAGACTGCTCATTTTTCTCCCAGGCCATCAGTGCCTGGTAGATTCAAATGCCAACTTTAACTCTTAGCAGCCTGGCACAGACGCATTAAGCCACTAGGGATCCTTCACTCCCTGGTAAGGGAACTAAATGGCTGTAGTGCCCCACTCACCCCTGTTGACCAAATAGGACAGCACAGAGCAGTCCCTAGGGCTTCCTAGGCTGTCATCTTCACAGAAGTAGACTGTCACATCTTCCTTAAGGGGAGCTAGTGGGTTAAAACCATGGGTCTTTTGGTTAGCAGGCAACACTAAACCACTCCACCACCAAGGATCCCTTAGAATTAAACTCTTAAACTCATTGTCAGTGAGTCAGAACCAACTCACAGCTGACCTTTTAGTGGGTTTCAAAATCTGTAAATCAAATAGAAGGTGATGTCTCACTTTCAATGAGCACTTGGTGGATTTGAAACACCACCAGAGAAGGGTGGTCTTTGGCTGAGAAGCACAAATCCCTGTGGCCTAGGCCACCAGTGCTCTCTCAGGAGACCAAAGAGAAAC